TGACATACTTATTACCTTGGCTGCACCTGACGACGCTGTCCACGTACAAAATGGACAAAACCTGCGACAACGCACCCTTGGATGAATCCACCGCCGGGACCGAAAGGTTTCAAATTATCGCCTTAAACAGCTTCTGAAGTACAGCGACTGAACAGTTTGCAGCAATATGCAATTAATCGTACTCTTAATAGCTTACGGTGGGAAAGTCGGTAATTGGTCTTTCAGCTTCACAAAACAGGAGCATCGGAGGAGCGAAATAAAAAGATTTCTGACAGGGCGAAAAATTGGTCGGGGCGAAAAAAATACTGTTCGTCGTAGATTTTGGAGTCCACAATTTGATGGCTTCTTTCAAACATCTTGGCATAACTTTTCTACAGAAACTCAGAAAGACAATGGCCAGAAAACTGGACAGTTTTCTGCTATCTTCCATTCTGAACAGCGGCAACATGACCACTATCCACCTGTACACTGACGCATTATCTGTAAGAATTGTATTTTAAAAGACACATGCTAGCAACAAAATGTGTTTATTACTTAAAGCTTAACGCATCTCAGGTCGAACTGCATCAACTCCAGCAGCCGTGCCACTTTCCACAAACTTCGTTGTCTCCGTGACTTCAGCTACTGAAAGAATAGCTGCTGACTCTGGATGCAGTTCAGACAATATCTAATTGCGAATATTGGGTTCATATGGTTCAGTTCTTCGATGTATCCAAATAATTAGAAAAGAATGACTTCTTCCTCGTGAGGTATACCAGCTTTTTCTCATTAATTTTTAGACTGTCCTTACTTCAGTTTCGTAAGCGGCATATATCCAGTCATAGTACTTTATCTGCCGCCGGAAAATTGGATTCCAGTTGCGCATTAAACTTTTTCGACGCGTCGGTATTTACCACTGCTTCAACGACAGCATTACCTTCCATATTTCGCGCCGCTTCTCAGCACTTCAAGTTTGAGATTGTCGGCATTAAGCCAACTCTAGAACGCAGCGCTTTTCTCCTTGACCGTCGCCTCTAAACGCAAAGTCCCAGTTCATCGCGCTTTATTCCGCAACAGCCAATGGAGCGCATTTTTAAATACTCCCAGTCAATTTTCACGCCTGCCGTCATGAATCAGATCTTTTAAATCGTTTACCGATGTTGTCAATGGGTTTTTCCTCAGCATCCACAGAAAATAAAACCACCCAATTGATTCTGGTTCCTTATAGCAACATCTCGTGGTGCCCCATCTGATGTACTTGAGGTTGCAAACACGGTAGTTATTAGCTGACAGTCTGCGTATCCTTAACGCACTACTAACTGCCGAACGTCATACGTAGGGAACTCGAAAAAACTGATCATTGACTTGAACACAAGGCATTCCAGTGCCAAAAATAATTACACATCTTCGATGCTTGAAGAATCTGTCCAAAAACATATTCGCAGATTCCTTATTTGCACATAAGCCTATTAAGTTTACAAATCATCATTGCGGAGTTCGGTTGTGTCGATTTTCCAAATCACGCATTTCCATGTACGATGTCTGTTCCTACATGCACATTACTGTTCGTAGTATTATTATACATAACAATGCTCCATGCACATTATTAAGCTTAAATTCAGGCAGCTATCGACTGCCCTTTAGAAAGTCAACCTCGGCGTCCAGACTGCAGAGGTAACAGCTGGAGAAGAAGCTCATGCCATTTCGAACTGGTACGACTGAGTGCATTTTTTCTAATACTGCTACGACAGAAGCAAGGGTCAGCAAACTACAGATTTTTTGCCGATAAGACAAAACTGTATGAAAAAATCATCGAAAACATCCCGAGCAGGTGGACTATTGGAAGCCATCTAAGCAAATATTTTAAAAAATTAAGGCGAAATCTTTCTGTCATGCCGCCCAAATTTTAAACAGAGGGTGACAACTGCTGAATTTACATCGAATGAAAGATTAAAACAACATTGGATGGATAACATCGGGAAGATGACAGATAAAGATGCGCGAAATAAAGCATCATTATCAGTCCTCTGAACGATTAACAATAATACCCATTAACAGGCGCATGCTGACTCTTTACGGCCAATTTAAAGACGACCGACAAAAAAGAATTTACCACATAGAAGACGAACAACTTCAACTGCAAATGAATATCGCATTTTTGAGGTAGAAAGCATAAGTGACACAGTCCTTACTCTCCATTGCAGTCATAAGTATGCTTTTCGTAAAAGCAGATAGCCCAAGGAAACTTAAGAAGATTCGATCCCTTTGAACCGTGACACAAGACCATCAAAAACTATTCAATCTGTGGTGACGTATGACTTACAGAGTGATAGTCAGGTTCAGCTCAGAGTTCTAACTTGATCTTCAATCTACAAACCGCATTATATAAGCTACATTCTCGTGTTAAAAATTTTAGCCAGTCAAACCTAAGAAACTCCTACTACACTATGTGACTGATCGCTGTCTATCTAGGTAACGGCACTGCCGCACTTAAGTGGCTATGAACAGGTTGTATTGCAGAGGCCTTCGTCGGGGTGCCCTTGGTAGTGTTAAGTGGATTGCTTGACGAAATGGATGAAAGCAGACCATTACGAGCAATGAAGTGGATTAACCTAGATGTCGGAAGTTTTCA